CATGCTGTGGTGGTGTCCCACATACAAAATAGAGGAAAATTGGCACAGATATTAGCTCAGCAGCAATCTTCCTCAAGCAAAAAGAGGAAGATTGGTAACAGACGTTAGCTCAGGGCCAATCTTCCTCACCAAAAATAAAAAAAAAAAACTTTTAATTAAAATATTATGTACATATATAGAAATTCATCTAAGTGTAGGACCCAATGAATTTTTTTTTTTTTTTGGTGAGGAAGATCAGCCCTGAGCTAACATCCATGCCGATCCTCCTCTTTTTTGCTGAGGAAGACCGGCCCTGAGCTAACATCTGTGCCCATCTTCCTCCACTTTATATGGGATGCCGCCACAGCATGGCCTAACAAGGGGTGCATTGGTGCGTGCCTGGGATCCAAACCGGGCTGCCAGCAGCAGAGCACGTGCACTTAGCTGTTATGCCGCCACAGGGCCGCCCCAAAGCCTTTAATTCTATGAGTTTTGTCTTGCTATAGTTCTAGGCATCCATTGCCAATATATACCAGATAGCCAGAACCAGAGTATTAGGTAGCTGCAGAGGCTCTCCTTGCCCAAAAATATTTTTCCCCTGAAAATACGTCAGATGATAGTTCTGAAAGTATGGAGCAGCTGCAGAAGAATCACCTGGGAATGTGTTACATAAGCAAACACTCTTACCTATAATGGAACACTAACATTTAAACTAAGTTGTAGTTTCCCAAGAGCTGACACTTTTCCAATCACTTATGAGAAAAAGTTCTGAATTCATGCTAGGGAAAACAGCAGGCTCATCAGGGAGGTAAAGATGATCAACTCTCCCATTTTTACTTTTAAAAAACTTTTAATTAGGGGCTAGCCCAGTGGCATAGTGGTTAAGTTCGCGTGCTCTGCTTCAGCAGCCCATGGTTCGCAGGTTCAGATCCTGGGCACGGACCTACACACTGCTCGTCAAGTCATGCTGTGGTGGTGTCCCACATACAAAATAGAGGAAAATTGGCACAGATATTAGCTCAGCAGCAATCTTCCTCAAGCAAAAAGAGGAAGATTGGTAACAGACGTTAGCTCAGGGCCAATCTTCCTCACCAAAAATAAAAAAAAAAAACTTTTAATTAAAATATTATGTACATATATAGAAATTCATCTAAGTGTAGGACCCAATGAATTTTTTTTTTTTTTTGCTGAGGAAGACCGGCCCTGAGCTAACATCTGTGCCCATCTTCCTCCACTTTATATGGGATGCCGCCACAGCATGGCCTAACAAGGGGTGCATTGGTGCGTGCCTGGGATCCGAACCGGGCCGCCAGCAGCAGAGCATGCGCACTTAACCGCTATGCCATGGGGCCAGCCCACAATGAATTTTTACAAATTGAAAATACCTAGCAATATTTTTTGTTTAGTTTTAAAATTCAACTACATTATATTTTATCTTTTTTTTTAATGTATCACCTTGTGTACCTTTTATAGTGATGGGTCTAGGCATCACATTATGCATACATAACTTATCACAATCATGGTGTTTTCCTTTTACCAGTTCGAGTGAAGTGTAGAAAACTTTACTTGATTTACATCCCATTAATTTTCCCATTTATAATTGTCTTAAATATTTCCTCTGTGTACATTGAGAACATTATCAATGTTATTTTTGCTTTGACTGCCAAACTCAAGAAAACTCAAGAGGAGAAAGAAAGTATATTGTATTCACCCATATTTTTACTCTTTCCGTTGTTTTTCTTCCTTGATGTTCCAAATTTCCTTCTTTTATCATTTCATTTATGTTTATAGAACTTTTGTTAGCCATTCTTTCAGAGTTCCTACTGCTGACAAATTCCTGTAGACTTCCTTCATCTGAAAATGTCTTGATTTCCCCTTCATTCCTGAAGGATCTATTCTGTATATAGAATTTTGAGTTGATAGTTTTTTTATTTCAGTACTTGAAAATCATGTGCCAATTCGTCTGGTCTTCATGGTTTCCGATGAGAAATCTATAAATTAGGGAACTGTTTTTCCCATACAGATAAGGCATCATTTTTCTGTAGCTGCTTTCAAGATGTTTTTCTTGTTTTTAGCTTGTAGAAACTTGATTATAATGTCTCTTGGCATGGATATTTTTGGTTTTAACCTATTTGAAGTTTATCTAGTTTCTTGAATCTGTAGGTTTATATCTTTTTTTATGCTTATTTTTTATTGTCTTTTTAAATTGATATTTAATTGACATATAACATTATATTAGTTTCAGGTACATAACCTAATGATTTAATACTCGTATATATTGCAAAATGGTCACCACAATAAGTCTAGTTAACACCCATCACCATACATAGTTACAAACTTTTTTTCTTGTGATGAGAACTTTTAAGACATACTCTCTTAGCGACTTCAAATATACAATACCATATTAACTATAGTCACCATGCTGTACATTACATCTCAATGACTTATTTATTTTATAACTATACCTTTTGACCCCCTTCACCCATTTTTGCACACCCCCCACCCCCATCTCTGGCAACCACCAATCTGATCTCTATGAGTTCAGGTTTGTTTTTTTTTTAAAGATTCCACATATATGTGAGATCATATGGTATTTGTCTTTATCTGTCTGACTTATTTCACTTAGCATAATGCCCTCAAGGTCTATCCGTATGTCTCAAATAGCAAGATTTCCTTTTTTATGGCTTAATAATATTCCATTGTGTATATATACTACATTTTCTTTATCCATTCATCCATGGAGATTCTTTCCCATAAGAAAATGCATTATGCATATAAGCTTTGAATTTTAGCTCTAACTTGTACTGTTGTGTGACATAGAGTAAGTCATTCAATTTTGTATAAGCTTTAGTTTTCTCAGTGAGGATAACAATATATAACTTGACGACTTATTGTGAAGATTCAAAATAATGTAGGTAGAGCTATTCAAATGCAATAAGTAATTGACTAGTAGTAATTCTGATGAGCCTTGGAGAGCCCCAGGTACTTACCTTCTTTACTACAATTTATGTAGTCAGGAACATTTTTCAATGAGGAACATAGACTCTTCCTCTCCTGGAAATCATAGTATCTGCTGATGCTCATCCCAAAGTTATGTATGGGTAACAGCATCAATGAATTAAGCAGGGGGCTTTTAGAAGCAGCTTCCTTGTCTGTGATTAAAAGCATGATAATATTAGCATGCTTTATATGAAATGAACTGCCCCAAGAAAACAAAGTCCCCCCAAGTTGATCAAATTAAACTGAGAAAATTACAAAGCCATAATACTACACTCAAAAAACTCTAAAATCTTGCCAATAAGTATGCTATCCATGATGTCTTATAGCATAGTTTGTATTGATAATTACAGCATTGGAAAATCATTTGGGGAAAGTTGATATCCAAATAATCTGTCTTCTTGTCACCTGATATGAACAGGAAACCCATACTGATTATTTCTTATCCTACACGATCAATAAAGAAGCAAAGTTGGAATAGGAAATTTAGCCTAGGACTCAAAGATGGAAAAGAGATAAGGAATACTTTATCAGTTAAAAGGAGATACATCTTCAGAGAACTAAGCATAAAACTAACTGAGGTTTCTCTAAATATTAACGTGTATAATAGTTGATGAATATACACAAGGAAATACAAAACATGGGTAAGGGTTAAGGTTATGAATTGTCATTGTAGGACTTCAAGACTGAGTTCAGATTATTGGGAATAGAGATAAAATTATATGTCGGATCAAAAAACATATTTTTATGACTTTGACAAAAGAGAGGTGGCCAAGCAAGGATGATAGGGGATGAGTAAATTCCTAAGACGTAAATTTTCTAAGTGGTAAATTCATACCAAGCCTGCCCCAAACAGAGTAACAATTGGTGTATAAACACCAATCTGGTGTTTCTGATAGCTGGAAAGAATAATTCTGGACATTGATTGGTCACTTGAGTAGATGCCAAAAATAACAAGTGGCTAATGTTATAAAGTATTTTAGCCTCTCTCTGTAGAGTGCATAAATATCCCCTCAACTTGAAGGAGCAGAGGACAATCTTCCTACATAAGAGTAATATGATTCCTTAGCTGACAAACTGTTGAAGGACAACATATGAGTGGAGTGGGGAGGAAGATAAAAACTGAGGAAAATGCGTTGTAAATGCATGAATAATATTTAAAAATATTTATCTTCTGGTTCAGCATGTGTATGGACCAATAAGAGTAGACTAACAACCAACCAGATTGAATACAAATCATAAACAATCAGTGTGGCCATCTTGTGCATAAAGACTGAATACTGACCCTAGCATTCGGATCTAGAGAAAAGCAGAATTGCTATCTGCTGTTTTGGATTGCCTCCCTATACATTCTCCATATTTCTGATAAAAGTATCCTGATTTTCACGTCATCTCTGAATAATGAGTTTAGTTTCTTCCTTTCTAATCTCACATCTCTTATTTTGATCTATTACTGCACTGACCAGGACCTTAGGTATAATGTGGATTTTAAAGAGAATGTTTTAAATTATTCAGCATTGAGTATGATATTTGTTGTATATTTTTTGCAAATTCCCTTTATGAAGTTATGGAAGTTTTTTCCTAGTTACTAAGAAATGTTATAATGAACAATCATTGGATGTATTTGGATGACATTTTTGCATATATCAAGATTTCCCCTTAATTTATTAATATGGCAAATTATATTAACAGACTTTCTGAGTCTATTGCTAGTCTGCATTATTAGGAAAAATTCAGTTTGGTCATAATGAATTAACTTTTCCTTTCTTTTATTAATTGTAATTTTGCTTTCTTCTATTCTTTTCTATTCATGAGGTCAAAGATATGCTAACTTCATAGAATGAGTAAAGAGGCTGTTTTTCTCCCCTGTTCTCTAGAAGGGTTTGTATAAGATTAGAATTCTATGTTTTTGCATGTTTCATAAAACTTACTATTACAGCAATATAGACCTGATGTTTTTGTTGTAGAAAGATTTTAACTAATGATTTAATTTCTTGAATGGTTTATAGGACCATTTACATTTTATAATTCTTATTAACAAGGTGTTGGGAAGTTATTTTTTGTACAATTGTATCTAATTATTCTAAATATTCAAATGTTTTATCTTAAAATTATTTATCACATCATCCTGTCTTCTTAATGTCTGCAGCGTCTGTATTTATGTCTCCATTTTATTCCTAATACAGCTTATTTGGACGTTTTTTTTTTTCTTTATTAACTTATCAGGGTTGTGGCAATGTTACCATCTTTCCAAAGATTTTGGCTCTTTTCCAATCTTTGGCTCTTTTGGTGCTCTCTTTTATTTTTGTTTGCTATTTCTTCAGTTTCTACTCTTATCCTTATTATATAATTCTTTCTACTTTTCTTGGATTTCTTCTGTTGTGTTTTTTTTTCAATTATTTTATTGAGGTCATAATGGTTTAGAACATTGTGTAATTTCAGGTGTACATTATTGTTTATCAGTCTCTGTATAGACTGCATCATACTCACCACCAATAATCTCATTTTGTGTGTGTGTGTGTGAGAGGAAGATTAGCCCTGAGCTAACATCTCTTGCTGATCCTCTTCTTTTTGCTGAGGAAGATTGGCCCTGGGCTAATATCTACGCCCATCTTCCTCTACTTGATATGTGGGATGCCTGCCACAGCATGGCTTGATAAGTGGTGCATAGGTCTGCATCAGGGATCTGAACCTGTGAACCCCAGGCCACCGAAGTGAAGCATGCGAACTTAACCACTACGCCACCAGGCCAGTCCCACCAATAATCTAATTTTTATCCATCACCATACCTATGTGCCCCTTTACCCACTCCCCAACCCCCTTCCCTTCTGGTAACCACTAATCTGTTCTCTTTATCTTGGATTTATTCTGTTGTATAATATATACATATATTTGATTACTTCTTTGACTGTCTAGTTACTTTTAACTTTATTTCTCGAATTCCAAACGTATGGTTCTGTTAGTTTTTACTAACCTCATGAAATGAGTTGGGAAATATTCTCTCTTGTTTTCGAAAAGACTTTGTATAGTATTGATATTTTTCCCCTTAAAAGTTTGTAAGAATGTGCCAGTGAAATGATCTGGGTTTTAGCCATCCCACACCTCCAAACTATAGTCTATCCTTAGGATAAAAGCAATAAAAATGAGAAACTCACCCAGTGCTTTTTCATTGAAAGTGTGAACTCCCTTCCAGTTTCTGTCTACTTTTAGTCATTGTGAAGTACATTCAAATTTTTAAAAATTTGTCCATAGTTTATAATTGTTAGGTGTGGGAGTATTAGTCTGATATAAGTTCCTCCACCTTTGTAAGTAGTAGAACATCAGTAAAGTTTTGTAGTCTGGGATGGCATAAATGTTGCACATCATCATCAGATTCATTTCTGAGTATGTGAGTTTTAGTGGTTATCTTAAGCATTGTAGTGGTTATCTTCTTAAGTTTCATTTTCTAAATAAAACCTACTTTTGTATGTCAATTATATCCACTAACCTTGCAAAATTCACTCATTAATTTCCCCAGTTTATCTGTAATTATTTTAGATTTTCTATGTACACAAAAATGTCATCTGTAAGTAATGACAGTGCTATTTCTTCTTTTGCCAATACTTACACCTTTATTATTTTCTTGCCTATTGCAGTGACTAAAACCTTCAGTATGATGTTGAACATAGAAATGATAGATAGCATCCTTGACTCATTCCCAAATGCAAATGGAAATCTTTAGATAACACCAATCTTACATAAAAAAATCTTTTCGTGAATACAAAGGACTATTTCTTAACGTTTTGTATGAAGTCAGCATAATATTGCTACCAAAATCTAAGAACATTATAAGAAAGGAAAATTACAGGTAAATCTGTCTCATGGACATTAATATAAAACTTCCTTGTAAACTATTAACAAATTGGATCTAGAAATGTATAATAAGGGATAATACAACTGAGTTTGGTTATTATAGGAATGCAGAGTTGGTTTAACATTAAAAATTAATTAGTGAACATCACCACACTAGAATAAAGCAGAAAAACTATACGATCATCTCACCAACGCAAAAGAAAAAAAATACTTGTTAAAATTCAAAACTTGTGCATTATAAAAACTCTAAACAATCTTGGAAATGAAGGGAATATCCTCAAATATATGTAACTACAAAAAAAATCAATGGCATATAAAAATTTTAAAATTGTGGTAAAATATATATATTTATCATTATAACTACTTAGTGCACAATTCAGTACAATAAATAAATTCAATTCAGGCAATAAATATATTCACGTTATTGTATAATTATCACCATTATCTACACCCAAAGCTTTTTCATTCTCAACAAAAACTCTGTACCTACTAAATAATAACCGTCCCTACTTTCCTGCCCTCTACTCTGGTAACCTTTATTCTACTTCTTTCTATATGAATTTGACTACTCTATGTTCCTCAAATAAGTGGAAATATACAATATTTGTCCTTAACTGTCTGGCCTATTTCACTTAGCATAATGTTTTCAAGTTCCATCTATGGTGTGGCATATATAAAAATTTTATTCCTTTTTGTGGCTGAATAATGTTCCACTGTATATACATAACACATTTTGTTTTATCCATTCATCTGTTGATGGACACTTGGATTGTTTCCACCTTTTGGCCGTC